TAGACCATTACAAATTGCACAGTTTTATAATGTAGCATTTTTATTTATTTTATTTTGTTTGATAGTTCTAGAATTGCGCCGCTCAAGGTGGCTGCATGATGGAGCAGCTCTGTTACTTTCCTTCTGAGATTTTGCGTTTGGAAACTTTAATTCCTCTCTTTCTGGATGTAAATCACATTTTTTTGACGACTGTTTTCTCTGGTATTGGATGCTGTGCAGCTGGAAGGATTTTTACTGAAACTTTTTTAGTTTTGGACATTTGTTATGATGTGCAACCATGGCAACAAGGACGTTTTCTACAACCAACAGCAGCTGATTAACATCTCAAAAGCTCAAATAATATCAATCAATCAATCAATCAACTTTATTTATATAGCACATTTTAAAAACCACAAGGGTAGCCAAAGTGCTGCACAATAAAACAATAAAAACAAACAAAACAATAAAAACATACAAAGCATACACAAAGAAACATAAAAACCATTCACATACCAGTTTCACAGCAGGTGTATTAAAAAGCCATAAAAGATAAGATCACGTGTTAAAAGCCAAAGAATAAAAGTGTGTCTTTAAAAGAGATTTAAAAACAGGAAAAGAGGAGGCCTGTCTGACACTCAAGGGTAAATTGTTCCACAACCTGGGAGCAACAACAGCAAACGCTCTGTCACCTCTGAGCTTCAGCATAGTTTTAAGGACTGTCAGCAGCAGCTGATCAGCTGATCGTAGGGATTGGGGTGGACAGTAAGGCTGAAGCAGCTCAGCCAGATATGGTGGGGCAAGGTTGTTCAGACATTTAAAAACAAACAGCAAAAGCTTAAAATTAATTCTGTAGTGCACAGGGAGCCAATGAAGGGACGCCAGGATGGGAGAAATATGCTCGCGCCTACGAGCCTGAGTTAACAGGCGAGCAGCAGAGTTCTGCACAAGCTGCAAACGAGCAAGAGACGTCTGGCTAATGCCTGCATACAGCGCATTACAGTAGTCAAGACGAGCTGTGATAAAAGCATGGATTAATTTCTCCAAGTCAGGTCTTGCTAGGATTGGTTTCACTTTTGCTATTTGGCGGAGTTGATAAAAACTTTTCTGAACAACACTGCTGATCTGTTTTTCAAATTTAAAATCAGACTCAAACTTCACCCCCAGATTGATGACACAGTCCTTGAGATAAAATGACAGTGAGCCAAGATCTATACTGGGAGAGGGACGGCAACTTGGTCCAAACATCATAATTTCAGTCTTGTTCTCATTTAGACTAAGGAAGTTAAGAGAGAACCATGTCTTAACATCATTAAGGCAGTGTGTAAATTGTTGAACTGTGTTGTTTTGTGCCATGGGAAAATAGATCTGGCAATCATCAGCATAAAAGTGAAATAAAATGCCATGCTTCCTAAAAATCGAGCCAAAGGGGAGTAAGTAAAGGGCAAATAAAAGAGGGCCAAGGATTGAGCCCTGGGGGACACCATGTGGAAGAGGAGCAGTGGAAGACATAAAATTGTCGATTTTTACGCAGAAACTCCTATTGGTTAATATATTGGTTAATATCTCAACTACAGCCCAAAATCTCAAATGAGTTGAAAAGGATGCTCTGTGGACGCATTCTCATCTACCTGCCAGCTGTGCTCGAGTGCCTGACCACTGAGGTCCTGGACCTAGCAGGACACACGACTCATGACAGCGGAAAGACAGGATCATCCCCCGACACCTGCAGCTAGCTGTCTGCAGAGACGAGGAGCTCAGCAGACTGCTGGGAGGAGTGGCCATCACGCTGGGAGAAGTTCTGCCCGGCATTCAGGCGGTCCTACAGCCCGGGGAACCGAGCGGCCAGCCGAGTCTGGGTGGACGGATCAGATGGCATCTACAGCCAGTTTCTTAGGATCCGCTGTGGGATGGACCTTTACAAGGGATCCTTCCTGCCTACAGCCATCAGCATCTAAAACATCTCTGTATGAAATGCGGATAACGAGTTACAACAACAAATAATTTCCCTTTGGGATTAATAAAGTATTTTTGAACTGAATTGAATTGAATATCATTGTTTTTATTTACTTTTCATTTTATATGCTTTTATTTGATCGTCTATTGTTGTCTATACCTCATCTGTGTTCTTTGTTTAAAACAGGTCTCTTTTGACTGAACTCATTGCCTTATGGCTCAACTGCCTGTCAACCTGGACTCTTTTCAGTCTTATCTTAAGCAGTTTGTTAAACATGTTGGGATGGTTTTAGACTCAGACTTCAAGTTTGAGAAACAAATCAACTCTGTTCTGCAGAAAAGCTTCTTCCAGTTAAGGCAGGTAGCTAAGCTCAAGCCAGTGTTGTCCAGACCCGACCTTGAGAAACTTCTCTATGTCTATCACGACTAGGGATGCACCGATCCACTTTTTTAAACTTCCGATCCGATCCTGATATCTAAATCTAAATATCGGCCGATACCGATGCAGTTCCGATATCATCATCATCATTGATTTTATATGAGGCTGTAAAAATCTAATCCCAAGTACAATTTGTACAATTATATGCATGCATGTCCAAAAAGGCAACTTGAGGTAAGTTTTATTAATGTTGGATGTTTTAAAGTTAGAATTAAATTCAGCTAAAACAAAGCATGTTTCTTTTTATTCCTAGCTTTAAAGTGGATATTAATGTGATTAATTTAATGATTGTTTAAAGTTATTTTATATTTTTTTAAAATAAGAGGCACATATAAGATTTTTCTTCTTTCTGCACTCTTTTGATTCAATGCTTTTTTTTGATGAATTCGTTTTTTTTAATGAATGAATAAATGAATAAAATAAAATAAAATATATTTTGTTTTTTTATATAAAAATAATATATATATATATATATATATATATATATATATATATATATATACATATAATTTTCTTGTAATTTACAAGTCATATGTTTTTTTATGATTGTCTACTGTTGTACTGATAAATATATCCTGGAGGGTAAACTATATCCTGGCTGCAAGTATCAAGCAGAGAAATCTTTCGTTTTCTACAGCTGACAACTGTTGGTCATTAATTACATTCATGTTCAGCAACTTCTCGGTAAACATTCGAGCTCCGGGGCTTCAGTGATGTCTTCTTCTTGTTCAATCTGCAGCAAGCAGTCTGATTTGGGTCAGCCGCGCTCAGTCTGTCCCTCCTCCAACATGAACAGACTGAGCGGGTCAGACTGAGCGGGTCAGACTGAGCGGGTCAGACTGAGCGTGGCTGACCAAAATCAGACGGCCTTCTCTGGACTGAACGAAAATAACAGACCGCTGAAGCCCCGGAGCTCAAATGTCCATTGTAAAACTAACTTTACCACGGTTTAAAGTGGTGCTATGGCTCTGCAGACATTGCACGTTGCTATCTTGATTTGTGGTGTTTCTAGTGTAAAATACTTCCACACAGTGGACGTGTTTAGATGAAAAGTTTTTAGCCACAGTGTTGCTAACTCAGTCCTCACGTTGTAGCTGGCTGTAAACTATGAAATTGACTTCCTGAATGTGAGGTGGATCTTATTACTCTGGGTTCATGAGACACGCCTCCGTTCAGGAAATCCATTTCATAGTTTGAAGCCAACGTGCAGCGCAACCACAGACCTGCATCATGGATCGGAAATATTGGCAGGTTGGATTGGAAAATCCGATACGTAAATTATGCTGGTATTGGAGCCCGATACCGATACTGGATCAGATCGGCCCCATCCCTAATCATGACCCGATTGGACTATTGCAATGCACTCTATGCTGGGGTCAACTGGGCCTCCATCGCACGTCTCCAACTTGTCCAGAATGCTACTGTTTGGCTCTTAACTAGAACTCATAGGTCTGAGCATATTACACCAGTTTTGTCCTCCCTTCACTGGTTCCCTGTGCATAATAGAATTGATTTTAAAATTATCCTGTTGACCTATAAGTGCCTAAATGACCTCTTACCCCTTTACCTCTCTGAGCTACTGGAACCATATATTCCCTCTCGGGTCCTGAGATCATCCGATCAGCTGCTTTTTGCTGTTCCAAAAACAAAACTGAAGCTCAGATGAGATCGGGCATTTTCAGTCAGGCCCCAAACTCTGGAACAACCTGCCACCCAACATTAGGCAGGCTCCTTTCCTGTATTCAAATCTCTGCTAAAAACACATCTGTTATCTCTGGCATTTCACACAGTGTGAGTTGATTTAGTGTTTTTTGTTGTGTATTCATATGTTTTTAAGGCTTATAAATAATTCTTCAGTATTATCATGAGTGTGTTTTTTTCCATTAATTTTACTCCCATTGATTTTATTGTTAAGCACTTTGGTAACAGTTTCTGTTTTAAATGTGCTCTATAAAAAAAGTTGACTTGTAAATGAGTCCTCGAGGCTCAGTGAGATTAACCTGTATAAATAAAGGTTGAACGAATTAATGAAAACTAAGTTTGATACACCTGTTCTAAACAATGGCACCACTAATAGTAATTGATTGATAATTAATTAGTAAATTTTCAGTTCTTGGAAAAATCAGGCTTTGTTTATCAATTTTTGTGTTATTTTACTCGCTCTAGATTTTTATTTTTAACACGCAAATTCAGTAAAGAAGTTCTGAAAAAGAATCAATCAAATTCACAGTTTATGTTCGTACACACACACTGTGAGCAATCTCAGTGGATGGGTTACATCAAAGATGGCTCTTTTAGTGTAGTAATGTGTGTGTGTGTGTGTGTGTGTGTGTATGTGTGTGTGTGCGTGTGTGTGTGTGTGTGTGTGTGTGTGTGTGTGCGAGCATGCGTGCAGTTTTGTTTCAGATAACATTGTGGGGACCAAAGCCTGGTCCCAATAAGGATAAGTCTCGTTGGTGGGTTAGGTTAGATGTGAATTGCGGACGCGTTAGGGTCAGAAATGAATGGAAGTCAATGCAAAGTCCCCAAAAAGTCAGAAATACAAGACCATGCGTGCGTGCGTGCGTGCGTGCGTGCGTGCGTGCGTGCGTGCGTGCGTGCGTGCGTGCGTGCGTGTGAATGTGTGTACCTGCTCTACACGACAGAGTTTGTCCACGGTGCCCTGGTAGCGGTTCATGCAGTCCTCAGCCAAATGAAGATGAGTTGAATACTGAGGTCAGATTAAAGAGGTGCTGTTGGTGAGGCTGACACACAATACAAAACACACAGTACAATAACACATTGCAAACAAAATGTGCATTGAGTGGTAAAATAAGGTCATTGTTCCTTCTTTTTTACTCTGAACTCGACTGTTGAATTCACACAAGATGTAAGTCCTTAAAAAAAAAAAACAAAGAATCAAACTGTGATTATTATTTAGACCTACTGATCTGATCACATTGGGATTAGAGTTTTTTTGTCATGACATGATCTATCAGAATCAGAATTAGTTTATTATTGCCATGTCAATGAACGAGGTTCACAAACTAAGAATTTGCTTCGACATAAAGGTGTGAATAGTAATAAAGTAAAATAAAGTAAAAATGAAAACATTACATAAAACATGTGTACACCCAAAAATAAAGTAAAAATGAAAACATAACATAAAACATGTGTACACCCATAAATAAAGTAAAAATGAAAATATAACATAAAACATGTGTATACCCATACAATAGAAAACAATAAAAAAGCTTAGAAAACAGTACAGATGGAGTATTCAATTATAATACAGATGTAATGTGACCAAAGCCGAAATTATGAGGTAGCATTATGAGTGTTCAGGAGTCCAACAGTAGAGGGGAAGAAACTGTTCTTATGGTGGGAGGTTCTGGTCCGAATGGACCGAAGCCTCCTGCCTGAGGGGAGTGGTTTGAACAGACCGTGTACAGGGTGAGCAGGGTCAGCTGTGATCCGACCTGCTCGCCTCACAGTCCTGGAGACGTACAGGTCATGGAGGGATGGAAGGCTGCAGCCGATCACCTTCTCAGCTGAGCGCACAACGTGCTGCAGTCTGAGTCTGTCCATGGCAATGGCCCCGGCGTACCACACTGTGATGGAGGAGCTGAGGACAGACTCGATGATGGCCGTGTAGAACTGCACCATCAGCTTGGCCGGCAGCTTGGCCTTCTTCAGCTGTCGCAGGAAGTACAGTCTCTGCTGGGCCTTCTTGATGAGGGAGCTGATGGTCGGCTCCCACTTGAGGTCCTGGGTGATGGTGGTGCCGAGGAACCGATAAGAGTTCGCAGTGGTGATGGAGGTATCATTACAGGTGAGGGGGGGGGGGGGCAGAGGGGCTGTGGCTTTCCTGAAATCCACAATCATCTCCACTGTCTTCCGGGCATTGAGTTCCAGGTTGTTGCTGCTGCACCAGGTCACCAGCCGGTCCACCTCCCTCCTGTATGCAGACTCAGCACCGTCCGAGATGAGCCCGATGAGGGTGGTGTCATCTGCAAAGTTAATAAGTTTCACAGAGTCGTGGCTGGAGGTGCAGCAGTTGGTGTACAGGGAAAAAAGCAGGGGGGGAAGAACACAGCCCTGTGGAGATCCTGTGCTTACAGTCTGAGTGTCCGAGACAGCTCTCCCCAGCCGCACGCACTGACTCCGGTCTGTCAGGAAGTCTGTGATCCACCTGCAGGTGGAGTCAGATGCATGGAGCAGGGAGAGCTTGTCTTGGAGCAGAGCAGGATGGTGTTAAATGCAGAGCTGAAGTCCACGAACAGGATCCCGGCGTAGGTTCCTGGGGAGTCCAGGTGCTGCAGGATGAAGTGAAGAGCCAGGTTTATTGCATCATCTACAGACCTGTTGGCCCTGTAGACTAACTGCAGGGGGTCCAGGAGGGGGTTGGTGATGGACTTGAGGTGAGATAAAACCAAACGTTCAAAGGTTTTCATGACTACAGACGTGAGAGTTACAGGTCTGTAGTCATTTAGTCCTGTGACACGTGGCTTCTTGGGGACAGGGATGATGATGGAGGACTTGAAACAGGCTGGGGCGTGGCATGACTCCAGAGAAGAGTTGAAGATCCCTGTGAAGACCGAAGCCAACTCTCCAGCACAATGTCTCAGCGTGGAGGGTGACAAAAGGTCTGCGCCTGCAGCCTTATGTGTGTTCAGCCTTTTAAAAAGCCTCCTTACTTCATCCTCTTGTACAGAGATAGCAGGGGGTTGTCAAGGGCAGTCCAAAGTCATTAAACCAGTTGTTAAACCAGTTGGGCTGGGGTGGTGTGGAGGATGGAGGAATGTGAGTCCATGACTTCAAAGCGTGAATAGAAGTCGTTCAGATCGTTTGCCAGTTTGAGATTGTCTGTAGAATGAGGTGCGCTGGGCTTGTAATCTAGAGGGTCAGCGTGGTGGTGCAACTAGCAGAGCCACTGCTTCTCAGCAAGAAGGTTGCCGGTTCAAACCCCGGTCCCGGGGGCCTTTCTGGGTGGAGTTTGCATGTTCTCTCCGTGCATGCGAGGGTTGTTTCCGAGTACTCCGGTTTTCTCCCACAGACCAAAAACATGCATGTTAGATTGGTTGGTGTGAATGTTTGTTTGTCTCTATGTTTCCCTGTGATAGACTGGAGACCTGTCCAGGTGTCCCCCCGCCTCTCATACAGTGATGGCTGGACATGGGCACCAGTGACCCCCGTGACCCAAAAAGGAAGAAGCGGGTAAAAGATAATGGAAGGATGGATGATGATCTAGAGTATTCTACAGTAGCTCAGTGGCTGGGCGCTGCAGCCTTGTAATCCTGGGATTGATGGCTCAAGCCCAGGTTTGTCAGGAAGCACAACAACAATCATGCAAGTTCATTCACTTTGGCAACTTCTACATAAGGGTTAGACAGAAGCAGAAAGTTTTAATTTGTGGGGGGAAGGGTGCCACAGCAGTCAGAGGAATAAGAAACAAACATTTTGGGATGTCCAAACTTCTTCAGTCAGACTTGATTATGAGCTCATCTGACAACTTTGGCCAGATAAACTATAGAAACCATTCTAACAAAACGGAGTTCAGCAAAAACATTACATGATCAGGCCCAGAGCTGGTGGATTTTGACCTGATTCATAATTTACTAAAGTTCTAAGGGAAAATATATTGTTGTCAGGAGGATATTGTTGTCCACTGTTGTCATCACTCGTTGTTAAAATCATCTCTCTCTTGTAAATGAGTCCCCAAGGCTCAATGGGACTAACCTGTATAAATAAAGGTTGAATGAATATATCAGTAATACCAAAAAAAAAACATTAGAGGAAAAAAATAAACAAAAGTGAAAACAACAAAAGTTAATCAAATCCATCAGATGTTATTTTTTATTAAGAAGAAATTGAAGCTCCAAAGAAAATGTAGCTGTGCTAGCTGTCCACGCAATAAGAACTAATGCACCACCATACTGTCAGAGAGACAGGATGCTGAACAGTGTGCTGATGGAGCTGGGGTTTCCAAAATGAATTTCACATTTCACTTGTCTGAGCAGAGAAGGGTTTTCCTCATGGTCTCAGCTGGTTTTAAATGACCTCCGGTCCAGAGAAGAGGGTCGGTCTGGATGGATGGATGGATGGATGGATGGATGGATGACACCTATGTATAGCATAGGATAGTGTCGACGTGCACTGCTTATTCTCAGTCCTCTTACCTACCTGACGTCAGATGATCAGAGTAGCTGCATAAAGCTCTTCCAGCAGTTTATACTTATAAAGATGTACACATTTAGATCTATTGCTGCAACATCTTTGTTTAAATCTTTGGTGTGTTGCCTGTGTTCCATTATGAATCCAATCTGTTTTAGGAGATTTGAAGTAATGCATTCAGAACAATGTTAAGGAAACTAATTTGAGAAGAAGGTCCTACCTTGCTGAGCTCTTTCTGATACTGAGGCATCTTCTTTAACATTTGAGACAGTTCCTTAATGGTCGTCTGAAAGAAATAGTGCAGGTTAGATCCAGCAGCATGTGTATGCTGAGACAGTAGACTACAGAGCATTTCTACATGTTGTCATATGATGACCACAAGCTTCAGAAATGTTCACTTCAGTTTTGTGTCACAGACCAACAAAAAGTAGCACAAACTTGTGAAGTGAAAAGGAAAACGATAAAAGGTTTTCACTTTTTATAAAATTGTCTGAGGGTGTTCGTTAATTCAAATAGGAAAAATATAACAAACATATCCAAGTTGATTTATTTGACATTAGAGAAAGTTATAGACATGTTTACATGGATCTTCTTCTGTTCAGGAGGTCACAGTTCACATGTGAGGAACTCACCGTGAGCTGCTGCTTCCAACCACTCAGAAAAATATGCCAAACTCAAAATTTACAGTTATTTTGAGAATGTGCAACTATCTTATTTATGTAATCATTGGTGATTGGTGTAAGCAAACTGGTTTTAAGGTTTTTCCAGCTTTTGAAATCTGCATTCAACAACAATTAGACAGATTTGTTCCGCCTCAAACTTGTCCTAAATGCTGACAAAACCAAAGGGATGCTTTTTTTCAAATAGGAAGTTGGTCCCAGCAGTTCTTCCTCTGATCTCATCCTCAAATGGTGTCCACATTGAGTTTGTTGATTCCTATAAATATTTGGGTATTTTGGTTGACTCGCATCTCTCTTTTAAGCTCCATGTGGAAAATTTGGTAAAGAAACTGAAAGTTAAACTGGGTTTCTTTTTCAGAAACAGATCCTGTCTAACCCTGAATGCTAGGAAACACCTTGTATCTGTTTTTTTTTTTTTTTTAACCCGTCCCCCCCCTCCCCCACAGCAGAGGCCCCAAAGCCCACCAGTGCACCAAGGGCCCCCAGGCCAGGGCCGGGCGCCGGCGCATGCACAGGCCCATGACCCTGACAACATACCCGCCAAGACCCGAGACCCCCGGATCAAGCCGGGACCCCAGCCCGGGAGCGACACTCCCCCAGAACCCTGAACCCTCGCCCACCCCAAACCCACCCAGGAGCAGCCAGGCCACCAGGCCAGCAACCTGCGCCCACCGGCACAGACCGCCCAGAGGCCTGCATGCAGCCAGCAGAGGTCAATGCCCAGAACCACCAAAGCAATCTCCCCAGTTGAGCGCCATTGCCCCGGGCCCACGACCCCCCCATGCCCCCAGCCCCGATACCCCCCCACATCAACCACAATGCCCCATGGGACGGAATCAAAGGGGTTTACCCACCTCCACTACAGGTTGAAGCCAATCAAAGAAGCCCAGAGAGATTGTTCTGATGTGGAGGTACAGGCTATCTCAAGACTGATGTAATCTTTCAAAAGGTCTTTATACTGTTTAATACTAAGAGTATTTTTATTTTTCCAATTTATGAGTATAGTTTTTTTTGCTATACATAAAACAGTAAAAATCATGTGAATTGACTTTGTCTCCAAGGTGACATCATCTAAGTGACCCAATAACCAAACTGACGGAGAGAGTGGAATATTACATCTCAGACACTTTGATAAGTCTTCACATATCCGGCACCAAAACATCTGAACAGGTGGACAGAACCAAAATGCGTGGATGTGATTGTCAGGAATATTGTTTGTACACTGTGAGCAAACATTTGTCAGGATTTTCTAGGCAGGAGCGAACCCAGTAGTGCAGACAGGGACTCAACTCAGCAGAATACAAAAATAGGTATTTAATGATAAATAAAGATAAAAAATAACAGGCTGACGGGGCAGCAAAACTTACATAAACAGGAAGATAAGGCACGGGAAACTCAGGAGGACTCAGGGAACTCGGAAGACCTCAGGGAGCTCGGAAGACTCAGGGAACTTGGAAGACTCAGGGAACTCGGAAGACTCAGGGGAACACAGGAGACCCAACGAGTACGACGCCACAAAGAACAAGACTGACAGACGGCTTAAATATAGGGACAAGACGAGACGTGATTACCAACAGCTGTGACGAGACAAGGGTGGCACTAATTGAACTAAAGAGAAAACACTAGGGAACACAGACACAAACCGGGCCACCAAATGGTACCATCCTTACAGTCCCCCCCCACCCCCCTCAAGGACACCCCCAGGCGTCCCCAAAAAACCCCCCTCCCGAAGGACTTGGGCGGGTGGAAGGCGGCACTGCAAGGGTGGAGGGCCCGAGGAAAACGCGAGGAAGAAACCAAAGACCTGAAAAACTATGGCTAACCACAAGCAGGGAACACAAAGGATCTGGATGGTCAAGAGACCGTCCCTAGGAGTCATTGTTCCGGTGGGCGGCCGGGAGGCCGTCCAATACATAGGACCAGAGAGACCGCGGTAGGCGGCGATGACGACTTGGAGACCGCGGCAGGCGGCGAAAAGACCCTGGAGGACGCATCAGGCGGCAATGAGACCTTGGAGGACGCATTAGGCGGTGATGAGACCTTGGAGGATGCAGCATGCGTCATGGAGTCCTGGGGAGCTGTAGCATGCGTCATAGAGTCCTGGGGAGCTGCAGCATGCATCATAGGGTCCTGGGGAGCTGCAGCATGCGTCATAGAGTCCTGGGGAGCTGCAGCATGTGTCATAGAGTCCTGGAGAGCTGCAGCATGCGTCATAGAGTCCTAGGGAGCTGCAGCATGCGTCAGAGTGGCCTGGGGCTCTGCAGTAGATGACTGAGAGGCCTGGGGCTCTGCAGTAAACGACGGAGAGGCCTGGGGCTCTGCATCAGACGACGGAGAGGCCTTGGGAGCTGCTGCTGCTGTCATGGAGGCCTGGGGCTCTGCAGCAGACGACGGAGAGGCCTGGGGCTCTTCAGTAGATGACGGAGAGGCCTGGGGAGCTGCTGCTGCTGTCATGGAGGCCTGGGGCTTTGCAGTAGAGGCAGGAACTGAATCTTCTGCGGCAGGAGCAGGAACTGAATCTTCTGTGGCAGGAGCAGGAACAGAATCTTCTGCGGCAGGAGCAGGAACAAAATCTTCTGCAGCAGGAGCAAGAACTGAATCTTCTGTGGCAGGAACAGGAACTGAATCTTCTGGAACAGGAACTGAATCTTCTGCGGCTGGAACAGATCTTCTGCGGCAGCGGCAGTAAACAGGAACAGGAACTTATGCGGCAGGAACAGGAACTGAAATTTCTGGAAGAGGAACTGAAACAGGAACTGAGTCTTCTGTGGCAGGAGCAGGATCTTCTGCGGCAGGAACAGGAACAGAATCTTCTGAGGCAGGAGCAGGAACAGATCTTCTGCGGCAGCAGGAAACAGGAACAGGAACTTCTGCGGCAGAAACAGGAACAGAATCCTCCTGGACCCCCTCGGAACAGGAAAGGCGAGGAGCGTCCGCTGGGACCCCCTCGGAATAGGAGAGGTGAGGAGCGTCCGCCGGGACCCCTTCGGAACAGGAGAGGTGAGGAGCGTCCGCCGGGCCCCCCTCGGAACAGGAGAAGCAAGGACCGTCTGTCGGGACCCCTTCGGAACAGGAGAAGTGAGGAGCGTCCGCCGGGACCCCCTCGGAACAGGAGAAGTGAGGATCCACCTCGGGGGCTGCGTGCAGCGTGGGATCCACCTCGGAGGCTGCGTGCAGAGTGGGTTCAGAGATGGCAGTGACTACAGGGGTTTTTAAAGTCCCTATCTTTGTTAGTAATAGATTGTACTCAGGGAGCCGTGCAAGCCCAGGAATAGATAATAAAAAATCCTCCATCTGGGACAACACGATGTCGATGGAAGCCGGGTTAGCTTTAGCTGAACGGAATAAATCTAGTAAAGTTTGGTTTATTTGCATAATTTCATCGGGTGAAAATGAGAATATGAAGGGAATGTCTCTATGTGGGGGTGTGGTGACGGGTGCCGCCCCCACCGGAAATCTGGAAGGTGAGGTGGAGGAACACGCCCCCACGGAGTCACTGGGAATACGCTCAGGAGGTACGGTCAGGCTGGGTCGGACAGCCGCGGTGCGTTGTGGCGGTGACAGGCTGGATTCCGCCCTCACCAGGAACCTGAAAGGTGAGGCGATGGAACTCGCCCCTGTGGCGTCAAATGGACCGGACTCACCGAACCGAACAGGAGTGGACCGGAGCTCCCGCGGGATGTTGGATCTCGCCCCCACCGGAAACCTGGGAGGTGAGGCGGCGGATCCCGCTCCCACAGAAACACCGGAACCAGCTCTAAAAGTCTGCTCAGCTGATGAGACCGGGCCGGTCACCGCGGACTGCCTCTGGAACTGTTTTCTGCCACTACGGCGGCAGTGGGACGGCAGAAGGACAGAGACGGAGTGGAGCTCGTCCATCTATGGCTCGTGGAGGGAAAAAGAAAAAAGGTGAGTTTGCCGAGAGAGACCCTGCCCGCTGGGTTCTGGTTTGGTCGCGTCGTAATGTCAGGATTTTCTAGGCAGGAGCGAACCCAGTAGTGTAGACAGGGACTCAACTCAGCAGAATACAAAAATAGGTATTTAATGATAAATAAAGATACAAAATAACAGGCTTACGGGGAAGCAAAACTTACATAAACAGGAAGTTAAGGCACGGGAAACTCAGGAGGACTCAGGGAACTCAGAAGACCTCAGGGAGCTCGGAAGACTCAGGGAACTCGGAAGACTCAGGGGAACACAGGAGACCCAACGAGTACGACGCCACAAAGAACAAGACTGACAGACGGCTTAAATACAGGGACAAGACGAGACGTGATTACCAACAGCTGTGACGAGACAAGGGTGGCACTAATTGAACTAAAGAGAAAACACTAGGGAACACAGACACAAACCGGGCCACCAAATGGTACCATCCTTACAACATTAGATGATGCGAAACCCATCCTGAACATCCGTTGACCTGTGTAGTGTACTCTATGAAGGATTTTGTATTGGATTAATTGTAAATTGGGGTTTTTAATCATCTTAAAAGTTCTTAGACATATCTGAGACCAGAAGTTTTGGTCAAAGTTGACTGACAAGTCTGTCTCCCATTTTATAATGGGAAGGGATACTGATTCATCTATTTTAATAAGTGTCAGG